GAAGCCGTAGTAGTTGAGAGGATATGAAATACTATTGTTTATTTGATATCATTTTCTTCCTCCCAGCTTCCTGCTCACATATGCAACAAATGGTAGAAATGAGAACGTGGGATGCTTGTGCTGTGAGAAGCTGATGAATGCCTCCTCCCCGGTCTCACGCTGCCACCCCTGGATGACAGTGCTGGCCGACGGAAGTCACTCTGTTTTTCAGGCACTCAATGCCGCATTGTTGAACGCAGAGGATTACCTAGGCTGCAAAAGAATGTGGGAAGTGTCTCACTGCATTTAAACTACCATCAGGTTAAGTCAAGGAGAAACATGAGCCTCACTCTGCAAGAAAAGTTCAATTTGATGAGTAAACCTGACTTCAGGTGTATTTCTGGAAGGCGTATTTTATCTAATGACTTAGGTTTGTTTTTGCCTCTCTACTCTTTTCCCTTGAGCTCCAGAAGCAAATTGGTTTTAGGGTCTTTTTTTTTTTTTATTCAAAACATCTCTTCTTACTCTAGTGATATCATCCCTGGAAGACTGAGATGTAAGAAGAGGTGAATCATGTGTCACCTCGCTTCTCTTCTAGAATTACATCAGTCAGAGCTCGGAGGTGCAGTGGGGATCAATGCCAAAAAGCAGAGGGGAGGAAGGAGAGATGGGGAGGGCGCAGACAGGGGAGGAGGGGAGCTGGCTCTTTCCAGCCTGCTTCTTTTCTTCTTCCTCCTCCTCAACCTTCAAGTCCCCCTTCCTATTTATAAATCACATAAGAGGAACAATCAGGCTTTAAGAGATGGCTGCTTTATATTTATTGATGGTGTTGGTTTCAATGCCATTTGCCTGAACTTTGGACCAATCACCATATGCCCATCCGTCACAGATGAAAGCCATCACTGGCATTCTCACCAGACGCTTAAACTAGATAAGAATGAAGACACACAGACCCTGCCCTGCCTCCCAAGTATTAGCCATATTATTTTCACTCTGTCTCATCTCTTCATCAGTTTCAAACAGCAGAGGAACTTGGCAATGCATGGAAATAATCTGAAATGTGAAATCTAGTCACGCAAGCTAGTGATGGCCCACACAGCCGTTTGCTGATCAGGTGAGCGCATTGGGGTAAAAGGTCTGGGATGGGTGGGTAGGCTGAGATTTGACTTTCCTGACCTCTCTCTAGCTGGGGTTTTTGATGTCATTCAATTATGTGTATCTGAGGAATTCATGGAGAGAGATCGGGTCTCACAACCAAGCCAAAATAGAATAGATTCAAAGGCCTGGACCTTGTCCTAATGCCGTTAAGAAGAGACTGAATATTTTTTAAAAAATATTTTCCACTCACCCTCTTTTCTTTCTTAAAGCTAGTTCTATGCCTGAACCACTCCTGTTAATTAGGAAGAAAATCTTTCACCCTCCTTTCCTCTATGGTTCCAGTGAATTCCAGACTCCTTAGGATTTCTGGGTCTAGCTGCTCAGAACATATTTCAGATGAAAACAAAGCGAAGTGGCCTCGGGACACCAGGGAAGGCCAGGAGTGAGATCCATTTCTGCAGCACAGGAAGAGAGGCCCAAAGGGGCAAAAGGAAAATATAATTTGCAGAAGGCACAGTTTTGGCAGCATCTCATTACAGCTTCCAGCTGATCGGGTGTAGCCAAACTAGAGACATCTGTTTGGAGTTTACAACAGAAACAAACACACACAAAGCATGAAAGCGCTCTAACAGCTCCTCTCCGCCTTGACCTTCGGGCCATCCCCCCACTGGGCCACGCTGGGTTATAGAAGGGAAGGAAATGGGCTTTGCAGCCTGCCCAGCCACCCACCCACCTGCACCGTGACTCACTCACACCAGGATCGGAACTTGTCAACTTTTCTCTCCCCCTGGTTTTCCTCCCAGGAAAATCAGAGATGGTCCCACTCCTCAGAGAACTCCTCTTTGGGTTTTTAGTTCATCTTTAAAGCTCCTTGAGCTGTTTGTGAAGGAAAAGATAACGGAGTCTCCTCACACTTGATTAGTAGTACGGCCCACAGGATGAGGTGGTAAAATCTCGGCTGACCTGGAAAGTCACTCCTCCATAAATAACCTCCCAGGTCTGAGAGTGCAATATGGAACTCACCCTGGCCTCTCCGAAAGACCAGAAAAAGACCAGACTCGCACAACTTCGTGAGTGAAAAATACGGGATAATACCTGAAATGGGGCCCCAGACACAGCACCTGGAGTTGTGGAGGTCCAGGAAGGCCCCAGATGATGCATCAAGGGGACCTTCCTTCCCTAATTCTCTCCAAGCACAGGAAAGACCAAAGACTGTCCTATGCCACCCAGGGTTGGACAGTCTCTCCCACTCCCACACAGCAGTTCCAGACGCTCACCTGATCTGTTACATTTTCCTCTTTATTCTCTCCCCACTGGCTGCAAACAGAACCAGAACAGTGCTACTTTTAAAAAATAACAAAATGTTTTATACACATTTCTGTATATACAACTGAACATTTTACATGTTTCTTTTGCACAGCAAAAGATATAAACAATCAGCTCTGAGAACACAGTTATGTACAGAAAAAAGTCAAAAATACTTCACAACAGTGCAAAAATATTTTACACAGTATCATGGAGTGAGATCTTTTGAGCAAGAGGAAGGGTGTGTGTTCGTGTCTGTGTGTTTCTAAAGGAAAACTCCTTTTTAAGATATTAGATGTCTTTAGCTGTAAACAAAATGCAACTTTCTTTCATCTCCCCCCACCACCCCCCAAACAGTTATTTGAGGAATTTGGCAGAATTTCAGGGGTCTGAGTCTGAGGTAAACAGCCCGAGCTCTTGCATCAAAAAGAACCGAGGGCCAAGGGGTGGCATTAAAGCCTCAAACACCTTGAGAGCAAATTCTCTCTCTTTTTTTTTAATGACATGTCAGTGACAGTGCAGGACCGCTCCCAGGGGGTGGGAGGAGGAAGTGAACCCCTCCTCCTCAGGCCCCAGCTGCCCCACAAACAGGAAACTGGCCAGGCACCTATGGCCTGAGACTAGGAACTTCAGCCAGCCTTCCTTCACCCGCACCCCAGAGGGCTGCCTCGCTCCCTCCTGGCGGGGTTTCCCCTTTCACATCTCCCCGCATTCCCACGCGCTCCCCGAGACCGCCTCGCACAGAGCCAAAAGTGCTGGGGCGGGAGCGGGGGCGGGGAGGTAGGGGAAGCGGTCAGGGGGAACTCTGGGCCTGGGCCCCAAAGGCCCCATTTCCCCTTTCCTGGGGGTGGGCAAGGGACAGGGAGGTTGTCGGGGCCACGGATGGGTAGCCACGGTGGAGCGCTGGGGACGCACGGAGGAGCTCAGCTCGAGTAGGGCTCGTCAGTGCTGGCGCTGTCGGCCTGGCCCAACCGGTCCCCAGCGGTGGCGTCCGGGCCCCCGCCCTCGATGGAGCTCTCGCTGCCCGTGCTGTCGCCTGACAGCAGGCGCGTCACCCGCAAGTCGGCCTGCAGGGTGCGCACGTCGTTGCCGAAGCTGAGCTCGCCCAGATCGTTAATGAGTTGCGACAGCTCGGCCTTCATGTCGGAGGCGCTGCCCAGCAGGAGAGGCGGCGGCCCGGCCCCCGGGCCCAGGGAGCCAACGCCGCCCCCCAGCGCCTCCCCGCGGCCATTCTCCAAGGTGTCCAACAAGTCCCCGCACTCAAAGTGCATGGCAACCACCAGCGCCCGCTGCGCCTCGGCCTCGTCCTCTGCTGGATCTCCCTCTGCTGAGCGGTTCTCCTCCTCCGGGGAGCCCTCGGGGTGCTCCTCTTCCTCTTCCTCCTGCAGCTCCTGCTCCTGCTGTTCACCAAGCAGGTCCTCGGTGATGGAGCCGAGCTTGGGCGCGCTGCGGCTACGCTCCACCGGCGGTTTATAGCAGCTGGGGCCGTGCAGGAGCAGCTTGCGCAGCGGCACTAGCGGGATGGTGTGCGCCCCCACCAGCTCCTGCTGCTGGTGACGCGCGTCGTCCCGCCGCTTGAGGCGTTTAAATTCCGCCAGCGCGTTGGCCGACGTCTGGTAGAGCAGCAGGGCCATGGCCTGCGCCTTTTCGGGCTTGGACACCAGCACCGCGTGGCAGCGCAGCATCACGGCCTTGTGCTTCAGCTCGTGCCGGTACACCCAGGCGAAGACCTTGGGCAGCCGCGCGTCCGCCACGCAGTAGGTGACGCGGTGCAGCAGGTAGAGGTGGCCCGGGCGGCGCAACGCGCGCTCCTCTGCGTGGACCATGCGGATACCCTGCGCACTCACCGTCAGCTTCATCTTGGTGCCCTGACGGCCCGCCTCGCTCTTGCTCCAGATCTTGCCCACAGCAAGGTCGGTGCAGCCGTCGCCGCGCGCCTGGATGGTGGTGGCATTGCCCAGGTAGAGCACGGTGTAAGTTGGGTCCTCGCTGGTGATGTGCAGCTTCTTGCGCTTGGAGCGGAACATGCTGCCCACCCGGCTAAGCGCGCCTTCGGGGCACGCCCGCGCCAGCGAGCTGAGCGCCGAGTAGTGCAGGCTCACAGCGTAGCCCTTGGGCTTGGACGCCTGCCGCGGCGGCGCCTCGGCCAGCAGCTCGAACTTGTGCTTCTTCCACGGCAGCATCTCCGGAGAGCGCCCCGGCGCAGCTGGGCGGCGGCGGCGGAGCGCCGGGTGCGAGCCCCGCTGAGCCACTGGCCCCAGCCGGGCTCGGCCCGGGCAAGATCGAAAAATAAAATTCACTGGGAGTGGCCCAGGGGTAGGGAGTTGGGGCGAGGGGGAGAGAGTGTTAGGAACCCCGCAGAGGGTGGGGGTAAATTTTCTAAAAAAGAAAATATTCAGCTTCGAGTGTGCAGAAAAAGTGCGTGTGTTGTGGGGGGGCGGGGGTTGTTGGAGGGGCCAAGCGTGCACACAGACTTACCCCAGCCTGGGCAAGGGCGAAGGCAAAGAGTCTCAGGCAAGCCACAAAACGCGAGAGAGAACGTGCGTGGAGGGAAAAAGGTCAGGAAAAAAACTAGAAGCGCGCGTGCAAATAAATAGAGCCCCAGCAACAGCACCGGGATGGTGCGAGAATATGCAGGAACTCCTTGGCGAACGCGAAGAGGGTCCCCTAACACACACAACCCCTAGGACTGGGGCCGAAACCCGCGGAAACTCTACAGCGAGTGTGCCCAGGGGCCGCTGCTCCCCACCTCCAAGGGGTGCTGGAGACGAAGAGTCCCTCGGCCGGGCTGGTCGCAGAGACAGCAGCTGGCCCCAAGTGCGGTGGGAGGCTCGGTCCGGCTGGCCGCGGCGGGCCCCGCGCAGCAGTCCTGCGGGGGCTCACTGCATCTTCACTCCGCCAGACACCGGGGACTCGCGCTCGGCGGGCTCAGTGTCCAGGCTGGCTTGGCCAGGGCAGCGCTGGGCTCCGAGGGCAGGGGGCGCGCATGGTCGGCTCTGGGGACCGCCGCTACCTCATTTCTTCCCTCCGAGGCGGTGTCCAACTCCGCTGCCCGGCTCTCCGCGGTCGGCTGCCCGCCTTTGCAGCGCGCCCTCTCCAGTGCTGCGAGCGATGGCCGGCTCGCCTGCCTCACATCCTTGCTGTCCGGGAGGAAGATCTCGGGTAAATATAGGCCGGCGCGAACCATTCGCCGCGCGGGGACAGGGGAGGAGCAGAGAAGAGAATCTGTTTCGGGATCCGACACCGGGCGGATTCCCAGTCTCTTAAAGGGACCTGGCGACAGCCATTGCTCGAGGGAGCGGGGAGACCGGTCCAATCCGGCAATTACATCCCAAATTTATCAGCATCTCTTTTGTCTACGGAAATCACTGGGACCTGGGGTTACCCCGCAGCAAAAGGACTTGAATCCTGACACTCCACCCCCAGGCTGAATTGCAACTCGATGAATACACGTATGTCTAGATCGAAACTTCTGGGGTAGGTGGCAGAAGATGAGATTATAGGCTATAATTTTCTAAGCAAAAAGTTTGGGAAAATAGTGGTTTCTTCCTTGTGTGACAGCTCTCCGAGAATGACTGGGTGCTGTTGAATATTCTTATTTTCAGAATTGTATTCGATTAAAGAAAGAGAGAGGCACAGAAAACACCAAGGCTTATCTTTCACTGTCTTGGAGCTCGTATTCACAGGTAAGCGGCAGACAGTGAAAAGTCAGATACATGGTAAGATGATTGGAGTGAATCCTGCAGACTATCATCAATGAATAAGGGGCTTCCCGATCCTAACCCCTAGCAAGATCCCCTCCTGCTGTCGGGCCTCAGAGTAGAGCAATTTTTTGAGATACGTACAATTTATTTATTTATTTATTTATCTCTCTCTCTCTCTCTCTCTCTCTTTCTCTTTCTTTCTTTCTTTCCTTTCTCTCTTTCTTCTCTCTTTTTCTCTCGAGACAGGGTTTCACCATCTTGGCCAGGCTGGTCTCGAACTCCTGACCTGGTGATCCACCCGCCTCAGCCTCCCAAAGTGCTGGGTTTACAGGCGTGAGCCACAGCACCCGGCCTGAGATACATTACAATTTCTAAGTAATGCGTGTGTAGTCAGTTTACTTCACCAGGCCATTCATGCAGTTTTATTATATATCATTGACATATTTTGGATGAGAATTCCTAGTAAAAATTCAAATGACATTTTTTATTTGAGTGACAAATAATGCCTGGCCACCCTCCAATAGGAGTGATAATTGCATCAGTATTGCTTTTATCATGTGCCAATTGGACAGTGTAGTTGTAGTCCTCCGGCGGCTTCACCCTTAGCCAGTAACTCATTTCTGGGCTCTTGAAACAACCTGCTAGCTTCTGTGGTCTCCTCAGTCAAAGCAAAAAGACTTACAGCTAGAGCGGGATAAATGTCCAAATGATCCTGCATCCAACTCCCAGGCTGGTCCTGGACGAGGACAGTGATCCCTTGCCACCATCCGAGTCCACTGAGGATCTTTGATGTTTCTGGCTTACACGCCAGAGTCACTGCAACCAATCCCGGAAATTCCCTAACCCTCTACCTTTGCCAACTTTTAATCTTCCTTTGAACTCTAACTCCATTTTCTCAGAGTCATTGGTGCCGAGTTTCCATTTAAGTAACTTTTATGACTGCCTTTGGGTGCCAGGCCCTGAGTTAGAAGCAGACAGGATTCCTGCCTCAAGAAGGTCCTAGTCCAATGAAGATTGTAAACTTCACCCAACTCTGTCTGGGCTTCCACTGGACTGTAGGTTCTATGCAAGTACCGTGTATCCCCACTGTGGTACAAATAGGCACTCAATAACTAGAATTAATGAGCAAGACACGCATGTGAACAAGAAGACAGAGTGGACTAAACGCTATGAGAAAGACCCAAAGCACTATGAGAAACTGGAGGAGGAAAGCATTCACTGTGGCTAGGAAAATCAGAAAAGTCTTCATGGAGGTGGTGACCTTTGAAAGATGAACAGAATTTATCCAAACAGGAAAAGACTGAAGGACTTCCTGGATATAGAGGGCAGCAAAATTATAGAAGCATGAAACGGCATACATAAGGCCAGGCACAGTGGCTCACGCCTGTAATCTCAGCATTTTGGGAGGCCAAGGCAGGTGGATCACTTGAGGTCAGGAGTTCAAGACCAGCCTGGCCAACATGGCAAAACTTTATCTCTACTAAAAATATAAAAATTAGCCGGGTGTGGTGGTGCACACCTGTAATCCCAGCTACTTGGGAGGTTGAGGCAGGAGAATCCCTTGAACTCGGGAGGCAGAGGTTGCAGTGAGCTGAGATCACACCACTGTACTTGAGCCTGGATGACAGAGTTAGACTGTCTCAAAAAAGAAAGAAAGAAAATGTGTACACATGTAATAATTAGGATGGAGCTTAATGATTGTAACAATGAAAGAAGAAAGCTTCCTGATTGTGGTTTTCGGCCCGGCCCTTGTAGTCTCTGAGGGAAGGAATGGCCTTTTCATGGCTGTCCCCTTAGTGTTGTTCCTCCAGAGCTGTAGTGCCTTACTCCTCAGCCGCACCTATGGGTCAATGGAGAGATACCAGACCCGCTGTTAGAATGAGCTAGTTAGGACTATAATAAGCCATTTAAGCTAACATTAATTTCTTAAATTTCTGGACTGTCTTGCAGTGGTAATGAAGGAGAATAAAACATTCTGGCTGAGCATGGTGGCTCATGCCTGTAATCCCAGCACTTTGGGAGGCCGAGGCAGGTGGATCACCTGATGTCAGGAGTTCAAGATCAGCCTGACCAACATGGTGAAACCCCGTCTCTATTAAAAATACAAATATTGGTCAGGCATGGTGGCTCACATCTGTAATCACAGCACTTTGGGTGGCCAAGGTGGATGGATCACGAGGTCAGGAGTTTGAGGCCAGCCTGGCCGACATAGCGAAGCCCCGTCTCTACTGAAAATACAAAAATTACCTGGATGTGGCGGCACATATCTATAATCCCAGCTACTCATGAGGCTGAGGCAGGAGAATCGCTTGAACCCAGGAGTCAGAGGTTGCAGTGAGCCGAGACCGTGCCACTGCACTCCAGCCTGGGTGACAGAGCGAGACTCCGTCTCAAAAAAAATCTGGTAAGCACATATCAAATGAGGCTGTGTTAAGTGACCTTTAGTTGGTCCATCATCTTGAAGTCCAAACTCCACAAAAGCAGACGTCATGTTCAAGCACTGATCATTTTCAAATGGCTCCCAGTTCCAAGGCTCAAGAGGGTGTGGGGAAGAGGAAGACAGATCAGTCGCAGGAGCTGAGGCTGGTCTCAGCCTTGGTGAGAGGCACCACTTTGCACTTCGTGCAGTGGCATAGACACCAGTGGCCCACAGAGGCAGGGAGAAGGAGTCCACTCGTGGCCCCATTCTTGAGCAGCAGCCAGAGTGCCAGTCCCAGCAGCACAGGCCCACGGAGCTGCTCCTGTTGACAAGGCTGTGTCATGGATTGACTGCCTTCCTAATAAGCTTGTTTGCAACCTTGGGAGAACAGAAAGGTTCTAGGCCAGTGTGAACACCCTGCTGTGAGTCATGCGCTGTACCTGTGCTCAAAGACCCAGGAGAAGAACCTGCTGTCCCTTTGTGGCCTGGACCTGGGCCAGCCCCAAGAGCCTGCCTCACTTTATGGAGAAGCCGGCCACCCCACCTGAAGCACACACCACAATTAAGGATGCGTTTCTTCAGCTAGGAGAGCCGGCAGCACCCGGTAGGAGTCTACATCAGATCTGAGGCAGGGCAATTCCTGAACAGACCGTCAGCGAAGCGGAGCTGGGAAGCAGGTTAGAAACTGCAGAGTGTAGTTTTCTAATGACACTGCCCCATCTACTGGTAGCAGGCAGACATGCTGCTTGGTGGGATGGTTTCTCATCAAACCGGATAAGCCTGTGGCTGAAACTACACAGCTGGAAGGAAATGCTGCAATCAAGAGTCCCAGCCCCAAACTCAGCATGCAGAAGTCAGCCTTCTGTCTCGCAGAGGCTTCGGACCGGCCTCCTCCCACCTCCTGTCTTACATAATGCTCCTTCCCTCGCCCCCTCCTCCAGCATCCCACTCAGAGGACATTGGCTTCAGAGATGACACATGACGAATCTGGAATCTTCAACGTCATCCAGTAAATACTTATGGAGAGTCTCCCATGAATGTGACGTAGCTGCTGGGGATACAGCACTAAAGAGGACAGATAGACAGGTCTTTGCCTGCATGAGATTTGCAGCATATGGTGGAGGCGCGGCAGGGAATTGGGCAGACAGTGAACAAAAAACTAATAAAACACCAGATAGGGAAAAGTCTCTGGAGCCAGGGAGGCAGTGCTAGGAAGGGAAGGTAGCTGGTTTAGAAGGTGGCTGGTTTAGACAGCATGGCCGGGGAGGTGGCTGGTTTAGACAGCATGGCCAGGGGAGGCGGCTCTGGGCAGAGACCGGAATGAGATGAAGCTGCGAAGACATGGGGAGAGCATTGCAACCTGCATGGCCCAGTACGTAGTCACCAGCCCACGGGCTGCTGCTGACACTGTGAACCATGTGTCACTGGGCCAATGAGCTGACCCAAATTTAGATGCTGTACGAGTATGAACTACACACTGGATTTTCAGGACTTAGTAAAACAAAAAGAATGTAAAAAATCTTGATAATGTTATATTAATTATATATTGAATGATAGCATTTTGGCTATGTTGAGTTAAATAAAATCAATTATTAAGATTAATTTTACCTATTTCTCCAGCCTGGTCAACATGGTGAAACTCTATCTCTACTAAAAATACAACATTAGCTAGGCATGGTGGTGCATGCCTGTAGTCCCAGCTACTTAGGAGGTTGAGGCAGGAGAATCGCTTGAACCTAGGAGGCAGAGGTTGCAGTGAGCCGAGATCGTGCCACTGCACTCCAGCCTGGGCGACAGAGCAAGACTCATTCTCAAAAAAAAAAAAAATTACTATTTCTTTTTGCTTCTTTTTTTCTTTTTAGACGAAGTTTTGCTCTTGTTGCCCAGGCTGGAGTGCAGTGGCGTGATCTCAGTCTGTAACTTCCACCTCCCAGATACAAGCAATTCTCCTGCCTCAGCCTCTCCAGTAGCTGGGATTACAGGCATGCACCACCACGCCCAGCTCATTTTTGTTTTGAACTCCCAGCCTCAGGTGATCCACCCACCACAGCCTCCTAAAGTGATGGGATTATAGGCATGAGCCACCGCGCCTGGCCTTTTTGCTTCTTTAAGGTGGCTACTAGACACCTTGGTTTTAGCCCAGTGAGGTCCATGTTAGACTTCTAACCTGCGGAGTTGTGAGTTTGTGTTGATTTAGGCTACTGCGTTGGCGGCAGTTTGCTCCGGCAGCAGTACACCTCCCATCCAGCCACCTTTTCCCTTGTCCTGCTCTCTTCCTCTCCCACTCTCCTCAACGCGTACCCTAAATTCTCACCAGTTTCCCAAAGCCACCTGCTCCCCCAGAGCTCAGCAGAACTGACTAGGTGCTTCCCCCACAAAAAAATGAGGCAGTTAGAGAAACCTCCAGCCCCTGCCAACCTACAAACAGCACGTCTACACCCAAGCCCATCTCTCTCCTTCAGGCTCGGAAGTCTCCCCTCCCTTCAGCCTGCGCCTCAAAGCCATCCTCAATACTTACTAACCCACACATCTGACCTTTTCCCTCCCCCCATTTTAACCTTCAAAGTGGCTTCCCACGCGCCATGGAATACACTCCCACTGCTCAGTGTAACACAAGAGAATGTTCAGGTCTGGCGCCTGCCCTGGCTCCAGCCTCATTCTCTTCTCCTAGACCCCTGATTTATGAAGCAGCACCAGAGAATAGACTGTACTTCTCCCCGTGCTCATGAGACTGGTCCTTCCCTTCCTGCCATGACTTATGTGGCTCTGTCTAACTGAAATGACCTCCTCCTGCCATTTCTCCTGGCCGGTTTTACTCATTCTTACAGAGCCAGCTCCGATACCATTTTCTCCAGGAAAGCCACCTAGGCCCACCCATCGCCTTCTCCATATCCCCCGTGTGTATCCTTACCTCTGCACTTGCCTTGCTATAATATTGTCTTTTTTTTTTTTTTTTTGAGAGGGAGTCTTGTTCTGTTGCCCAGGCTGGAGTGCGTGATCTTGGCTCACTGCAACCTCCTCCTGCCAAGTTCCAGTGATTCTCCTGCCTCTGCCTCCTGAGTAGCTGGAATTACAGGCGCCACTCATCATAGCCAGCTAATTTTTTGCACTCCCAGGCTGGCGTGCAATGGCGCGATCTTGGCTCACTGCAAGCTCTGCCTCCCGCGTTCAAGTGATTCTCCTGCCTCAGCCTCCTGGGTAGCTGGGATTATAGGCGCACTGCCATGTCTGGCTAATTTTTGTATTTTTTTACTAGAGACGAGGTTTCACTATGTTGGCCAGGCTGGTCTTGAACTCCTGACCTTGTTGATCCACCTGCCTTGGCCTCCCAAAGTGCTGGGATTACAGGTATGAGCCACCACTCATGGCCTTTTTTGTTGTTGTTGTTATTTTTAGTAGAGACGAGTTTTCACCATGTTGGCCAGGCTGGTCTTGAACTCCTGACCTCAAGTGATCCACCTGCCTCAGCCACCCGAAGTGCTAGGATTACAGCCGTGAGCCACCTCGCCAGCCTATAATATTGTCTTTAACTCTCTGCCCACCCCCTGCTAGACTACAGGCTCCTTTTGGGTGGTGTCTATATTTTATTCACTCTTTGTATCCCCCAACTTCTAGCATAATGCTGGCCACCAAATTAATGTGTGGCAAGTATTTGTAGAATGAACTTAACTATGTGTTTATTTCTGTTTTTTTTTTTTATTCAGCACAATACTGCCAGTGAGTATTTATTTCAAAGTCATGGGACTGTCACGAACAGACTGTCAGAACTAGAAGAGCCTTATCTGGAAGGCCCTTCGAGATCATCTAGTCAACCTCCCCTGACTTTCCAAATGAGGAAACTGACGGCCTGACAGCGCATGTGCATGGCCATAAGGTAATTTAGGGACCACGCCAAGATGAGGACTCATGTGGCCTGAATCTCAATCCAGGGCCCTTTCCTGTGGCTAAAAGTAAAGCCAAAAACTTTTAAACACGTAAGTGTAGAACCCACGTCCTTCCTTCGCTCCCCCTCTAGGAAGAGCAGCTTTGGGGCCCACAGGTTCATTTGATGACCCCAACAGGAGCAGCCCTACCAGCCAAACATACTTCTCTCTGTGAATTGATTGAGTGGTCACTCGTTGGGTACCTTAATCAAAAAGGCACTTTGCCAATGGCTCTCACTGCCCCTAAAGACGTTAGAGTCAAGCAGGACTGTCACAGGCCTCCCCCAGTGAGATGGGGCTCTATGGTGCTTGAGATCACACTTGGGTCTCGGAACGTCTGGCAGCCCATTTCCCATTGCAGGCAGAATAACCTGTAGTCAAACAAGTTATTCTGACCAGACCCGGGCCCTCTTTAGGAAGGAAGTGGACTTCATGCTAAGCCTGGAAGGATGGGCAGATTGCTGTGGATGCAGATAGGAGAGAGCAGTTCAGAGGAAGGAAATGGCTCACGCAGAAGGGAGTTCGTGTTGAACATCAAACAACTGGGCAAGAGAAGGGAACGCAAAAGTACTGAGCCCCTACTGTTCGTCACACAGTGCTAAGTCAGATCCGTCCAAATGTCTCATGCACCTAAGAGTGTTGTTAGCTCCGTGCTAGTCTCTTTTTTACAGAGGGAAAGGACCATGGCTTGGAGGAGTTAAGAAATTTGCCCACTGGGCACAGTGGCTCACCCCTGTAATCCCAGCACTTTGGGAGGCTGAGGCAGGCGGATCACGAGGTCAGGAGTTTGAGACCAGCCTGGCCAACATGGGGAAAGCAGATCTCTACTAAAAATACAAAAATTAGCCAGGTGTGGTGGCAGCCACCTGTAATCCCAGCTACTTGGGAGGCTGAGGCAGGAGAACTGCTTGAACATGGGAGGTGGAGGTTGCGGTGAGCCAGGATCACACCACTGCACTCCAGCCTGGGCGACAGAGCAAGACTCAGTCTTGAGAAAAAAAAAAAAAAAGAAAAAGAAATTTGCCCAAGATCCCCAAGGCCTATGTTCTTTGTGTTTGGGTCAGGCCAGGGTCCGACTCCTGATGTCCCTGAATGGCAGGCAGAGGCATCTCATAAGCTGTGGTGAGTCACTGGAGGCAGTAGAGCAGGGACCTGCCATGATGAGAGCCAAGGCTTAGGTACACAGATTGGCAAAGAAGTAATCCAGACCCCACCCCAAGCCCTGCCTAACTGAGCGACCCCGAGCACGCTGCTGCCCTTCTCTCCCTTTCGGGAACTAATCAAATTCTCATTCATTTCTAAGATCACAGAAAAGCTGTATGAATTTCCTGCAGCAGCCGTAACAGATGACCATAAATGGGGTGGCTTAAAACCACAATGTATTCTCTTCCTGTTTGGAGGTTACAAGAAGGCAGCATCCTTCCTTGCATCTTACCAGCTCCTGATGGTTGCCTGTCATCGTTGGTGTTGTTTTTTTGACATGTCGCTCCAATCTCTGCCTCTGGAATCACATGGCCTCTCCCTCTGTGTCTTCTGTGTACGCAGCCAAATGTTTCTCTTTCTAAAATAGTAGTTATTGGCTTAGGGCCCTCCTAATCCAATGTGAGTTCATCTTCACTTGATTACATCTGCAGACACCCTTTTCCGAACCTGGTACGGTGGCTCGTGCCTGTAATCCCAATATTCAGGAGGCCCAGGCAGAAGGGTCATCTGAGCCCAGGAGTTTGGGAACAAGCCTGCACCACACAGTGAAACCCCATCTCAAAAAAAAGCCCTTTTTCCAAATAAAAGCACATCCACAAGTAGGGGTTAGGTCTCGCTCTGTCACTCAGGCTGTAGTGCAGTGGCGCAATCACAGCTCATCACAGCCTCAACCTCCCACACTCAAGTGATCCTCCCACCTCAGCCTCCCAAGTAGCTGGGAACACAGGCACACATCACCACACCCAGCTAATTTTTTTTTTTTTTTTTTTTTTTTACTTTTTTGTAGAGATGGGGGTCTCACTATGTTGCCCAGCCTGGTCTCAAACTGCTGGGCTCAAGTCATCCTCCCACCTCAGCCTCCCAAAATGCTGGCATTGCAGGCATGAGCCACCAGGCCTTTTTTTTTTTTTTGAGACAGAGTCTCACTCTGAAACCCAGGCTGAAGTGCAGTGGTATGATCTTGGCTCACTGCAACCTCCACCTCCTGGGTTCTAGCAATTCTCCTGTCTCAGCCTCCCAGGTACCTGGGACTACAGGCGCACACTACTACACCGGCTAATTTTTTTTATTTTAGTAGAGACAGAGTTTCACCATGTTACCCAGGCTGGTCTCGAACTCCTGAGCTCAGGTAATCCACCTGCCTTGGCCTCTCAAAGTGCTAAGATTACAGGCATGAGCCACCATACCTGGCCTGAACATCTTTTTAAGGGACTTCATTAACTCAAAACAGAAGCTGTGTTTCCAACAAAGCTCACTGAAAATAAATAAATATAAAAGACAAAAGGTTAAAACAGAGCCCACGGCAGGAAATTGCAGGAGTGACAGAGGAGCAATAGACAAGTCAGAGGTCTACAAACTCTGGAGGTCACCCTGTGACCAAAGCTCCCGGAAATGTCCTCACCATGCGTCTTGTCTTGGAGCCTGTCCTT